ATCAACATGACGTTATTTGACCTTGTAAAGGTCGAGCAACTCGTGTCAGATCTTTTTCAGTATAAACATATGAAAATCAACTAGCCTTGAAACTGACCTTGTACGGGTCATGCTATAATGATTCTCAGAGTTTCTGGGGACTACAATCGGCACAATCATTATTTTTGCAATCAGGCAAATTCCATCCACTTATTTCTAAGAAACTAGTCATATGAATGATTTGGTCCCATGGATACTTTTGTTCAGGAAGGCAAGAAATATATACTGCATTTTCAGACAAATTGACTGAGACCAATTTTCCATGTGTTTTGTGCCTGATCCTTTATTCAAGTCAAACAAACCAACAAATATAGTAACTTCCTGTTACAACAGCCCCAGGTAAAAATACCAAAATATAACCTATGTATGTAGTATGAACCTAACCAATAAAAAGATGACAGTATGCTTAAACCCTATTTGACGAGTATCCATCACGTTTTGACGTCTACTGAGGTGAACAGTTGATCAGTAAGTGACATCTTTGTATTAGTCTGTATTGTTGGCAATAATGATTCGGGTGTAATATCAAGTAAAACTTGCTTGGAGCGTTTTTTTTGTATGCAAATGGACTTTTCCAAATAAAAAAGTTGTTAGCAAGTACAAACTGAATGTGTAGCGCAAAAAAAACCTAAAACAAAATACTGCTATCTTCCTGGCATTGACGGATCCGCTAGAATTATGTGTAATTTGTCGATATGGAGAATTTTGAAATATCACTAGATAAACTTAAACAGCTTTTATTCTATCGTAATGGATACTCGTGACAAAGTGAAAAAGAGAATAGAAACTGATTGATTCTGTTGAAATAATAAATCCTAAATTAAAACCAAAGCACCAAGCCCAACTGTAAGGATTATAATATTAATCACAAAACGTAAACGCGTCAAATAACGAAGGTTGGTATCTAGGAAAAAGAACCAAAAGTAACTACAATTCCCCAAAAAATTGACTAAAAATTAGAACAAGCTCTAATCTGTCAATTTATTAATGAATTAATTATTGTGAAGAAATTGCCAACAATTTTTATGTTTACACGCTCCAACTTTTTCACGGTTAAAAATTGTTGAATTTATTGGATCTTGTAAGGCGTCTATAATATTGCCGCGTTTTGAATCCCCCTGTATTCGCACTACTCTAAACAAACTAATTTTAACAAACAAGTTATAAAATCACTTTTTCCTCAGAATTTCTTGAAAAATGAACAACCCCCTGATGTTTGCATGAGAAAAAATTGTATTCAAATATAATCGCTTGAAAACATACAGGTTGTTTTTCTGCCTCTCCCGTGGAGTTTAAGTTTTATAATTATAATACAGTGGTTAAAATCTTGAATGTGATAAGGCGTCAGGCGTCCTTGTACCTCGACCAAGTCATGCGAATACAGTGTACTGAATTAAACACACGAGTTGAGCATTAACATAGAAAAAAATGGCAAGCGATCGATACGTAATGTGTTGTCCAATGGCTAAAAAGTGGAGTTAGTTGTTACTTCCCAAACGTAATCTATAGAAGTATTGTAATAACGAGAATTTCTGAATTTGAGATATGTTCTTCTATAAGTGCAGGGTGGCCAACTAAGAATGCGAGGTACTGCATCTGAGAACCTATCCATCGTACAGGCTTTCGGCAAACAGTTATTACTAAAACGACCAAGAGAAAAACCTGGAAAATATTTTCAAGTTTCTGAAATGGCCGCTAGAGGGCGTAACTGCAATCTTGAATCTAAAAAAGTGATGTTTCTGTGAATTCCGCTATATTAACCTAACAAAAAAATACCTGATCCTTAAAGTCGAGGATAATGTGAACTTTTTTGTTTGACAGTTTTTGCTGTATCCCTGAAAATAAAGTGGTGGGGGGTATTAAAATGTTTCCGTAAAAAACACCCTTATCTTCGAAACGGCTGAGCCGATTTTAACAAACTTGGGCTAGTTGAAAAGAGCTGCTCTTGTGCTACTGCTACTGCTAATGTTAGTAATGTTAGTATTTGAAGTTGTTAGTTCCACATGTGGCCGCTAGAGGACTTTTTTCGACATTCCGACAGAAATGGTTAATTTTCTCAAAAAAATTAAATGCATTGGTATAATTTTTTTATGAAACAGTAGCGAAATGATGTCTAAACAAGCTCGCGAAAACCTCATCTTAATATCTTGTTCCTAACCTAAAATTTAGGTCAAAGAAAATTTTATTCGGAAATCCCTTAATTTTTTATTTTTTTTGACCTATTTTTCTGGAATTTCTTTTTATCATATTAAGATGTGGCCCTAAAAAGGACCGATTTAAAAAAGAAAAGTTTTTAATAACCCCGTACATGCCCGAAATGCTGACCATCACGCTCTATGTATTCTGCCTCCCAGTATGCCACACTACACATTTAAACTCCACCGCTCTTGGTACAGAACTTCAAGCAAGCAACGCGGAAATGATATGGGTGCATTCTAAAAGTAATTAAAAAAGTTAAATTCAAATAAATGTTGGTGGCCTTCAAAATATTGTGAACCGTAGTTTACATTATTATCGGCTTTAAAGATCAGGTATTTTTTTGATAGGTTAATATAGCTGAATTCACATAAACATCACTGTTTTCCAGGTTTTTCTCTTGGCCGTTTTAGTAAGAAGTTCTTTTGCCGCAAGTCTCTACGACGGATAGGTTCCCAAATACAGTACCTCGCATACTTAGTTGGCCATACTTTTATAGAAATGCCTGAAATGTTTACCCGACTGCGTTAGAAGGAGGGATATATTCTTCGCGCGTGGGTATGCATACAAAAAGTCTATTTCACGAGCTACAGGCCAAACGGCGCGATAGATTTTGACATATGAGGTGACTTTAGATTTATCTGGACATAGCGAGTGACACTGGGTATATTGAAATTGTACAGGGTGGCGCAGAGGAAACGCATGTTTTCTGACCGAATGGTATTTCGCACAGAATAGGGATATGACCTCGCCGCACCGCCAGCAGAGAACACATGCGATGCAGTTTCAGCCATGGCACCGTGGATGACGGAGCATCGTGTGTTTGCCGTCGAGCAATTTTTTCGAAACGATGATTCTGTAGTGATCGTGCAACGTTTATTCCGTCGACAGTTCAATGTTGAACGCCACGGGCCAATTCCAGATCGAAACACAATACTCCGATGGGTTGAAGCATTTCGAAGTACTGGATCCGTAATGAAGAGGAAGCCACCTGGCCTTCCCCGTACCGTGCGGACTCCAGGCAATATCGAAACAGTGAGAAGAGCGGTCCTTGATAGTCCCCAACGGTCCACTAGGCGCCAAGCTCCAACTCTGCGTATGTCCCGTCGGTCGTTACAACGCATTCTGCATGACGATTTACAATATCATCCGTACAAGATAATGATCGTGCAAGAGCTAACGGAAAGCGATTTTGCACAGCGTAGAGAATTTTGTGCGAGAATGCGGGCCATTTTTGCTGACGATCCTGACGTCGTCATAATGATGAGTGACGAAGCACACTTCCATTTAACAGGATATGTAAACAAGCAGAACTGTAGCTATTGGGCGGCCGAAAATCCACGAGAGCTACACCAACGACCCTTGCATAGTCAAAAATTAACAGTGTGGTGCGGAATCAGTAAATTAGGTATCGTTGGTCCTTACTTTGTTGAAGAGGAAGAAAGAGCAGTAACAGTTACTTCAGCACGTTATGTTCACATGTTACAAAATTTTCTGTTACCCGAACTTCAACGGCAACAAGTAAACATGGGAGAGCTGTGGTTCCAACAAGACGGTGCCACAGCTCACACAGCGAGAGCATCAATGGAATGGATTCGACAGATGTTTCCTGAACATGTGATTTCCCATTTCGGCGATGTCCCTTGGCCCCCATGCTCCCCAGATTTGTCCGCATGCGACTTCTTTTTGTGGGGTTACCTTAAGGATAAAGTGTACCCTCACAAGCCTCGTACGTTACAGGAACTGAAAATTGCTATTCGTCAAGAAATTGCAAGAATACCACAAGAAACGATTTTACGTGTAATGCACAACTTTCAAGAGCGGTTGGAGATGTGCGAGCGCGAAGCAGGGCGACACTTGAGTGACGTTATTTACCATCATTAGTTTAAAAGTGCACTATCATTACTTTATTTAGCTGTAACTGAAACAAAGTTATCTTGCGTGCGTTTCCTCTGCGCCACCCTGTATAAAAGCAAAATTGCGGATTTGAATAACTTTCAACCATGACATTCCTGAAATGGACATTATTTGCTTTCTACAGCCATGACCAAGTGCAAACAGCGCGTCGTAGGTCTAGTCTTGGAGTAAGACGAAATGGAAAGCAAACAAAAGTGGGTATGGCCATTTGAAAAATTCAAAACCTTGCGTGCAATAAGGTGAAAATCTGACCGTCGTCGCCTACTAATGTGAACAATCAGACAATGGAGATACCCTTATGCCCTCTGGCCCATAACGACGTTTTTCGCTACGTCCAGGGATGTCGCACTACACCATTATCTCGGTCGACTGTCAAGTGGTTGGAATACTAAGTATTCACAGAACAAAGCAGCAATGGCCTTCTATAGAATAGAGTAGCATCTGTTTTCAGAGACCTGAGATCTTTACAGTTTCAACTAGTAGCTGCTTTACACTCTCGATGGTCGATTCTGATAATAGATGATAGAGGATAGTTGCTATGCTTTCGTTCGTTGATCCAGAGACCAAGCCTAAACCATGCTGATCAGTTGCCAAAAAGCACGAAACAGCGTTCCATGGTTGGGTGTCTGGGGCCGGACAGATGAAAGCAGCAGCTGAGTCGGTCCTGTATGTTGTGTCTACAATGCTTGTAAATCGTTTTCTTTGACGATTTTCTGGTATCCACAAATGATCGTGTTTATTCGTAATACCACAACAAAAAATAACGATGAAAATAATGTACGAAAAATAATTATTTACATAACATAAAGAAGGATTGAACATGAATTAAGGTGCTATTTTATTTCTAGGTGGATACAGATACAACATGGAACGAAGTATACACAGCACCAGCTGCTCGTATGGCAGTTGGTTGCACTGTGGACCTCGCGGTGCGGACCTGGACAGGTGATATCAGGAACGGGTTCGCGATAGTCAGGCCGCCAGGACATCACGCAGAACCCCAACAGGCGATGGGATTTTGTTATTTTAATTCGGTAAGTCCACATCCAAATCAAATATTTCTATTGATTTAAGAAATACGTCCATAAATTTTAGTTGTATTTAAAAATAATACATTACATACCTAGTTTGAGATGTAGGGGCACTTTGGGTGGCACTTTTATTACTTGGGGGCGCGTAGCGAGTCATGCATAGATTTTTCACTACGAACACTGAAGACAGAAAGACATGCCAATATTCCTAGGGTTGAAAGTACATCCAAAAATAACTGAAAAAAACTACCAATAAAAAATTGGTCCAAAGATGCTCCCCTACTGAAGTACAGGGAAATGAAGTTTTATTTACGAAATTGAAAAAAATTATATCTTCGCAGCGGGTAGAGATACTGAGCTAAGATTTTAGACGTTTAGTAAGCATATCATAAGCAATGAACAAACGGAGTTAAAATGAACCAGGGTCATAGAACCGGGGGACAACCAGTAATTTAAGATAACATTATCTCAGGCTGAAACACCCTGCAGTAGATATGGATACAAATCCACAAAAAATTAAAGCCGCCCGTTTAGAAAACGAACATGAAGGGAGCAGCGGTATGTATCTATATTACGCCTAAACATAAGTATTAAATTATTATCGACCGGATTTAATGCATGCTTAGCAAATCCACAACCATCTTGTTCAACATCCAATCCACAGGCTGCTTTACTGTTTCATCAGAAGACCTTAAATGTATTAAGGACAACACGTCGCCCTATGCAAACTACAATGTCAAGCTTCGTTTTGCGTCCTGTATCCTTTCATCGTCAGAAAACTATCAATGACCTGGTACTCAGTATGATAATTAAAGACTTACAACCTTTTAATATTGTGAATGATGAAGGGTTTCTTGATTTACTAGGTTTTTTTGAACCTTCAGTAAATGTATACCTCCTAGTAGAAATACTGTTAAGAATTCGCTTCTGGGAGAGAAATATTATTATGATTCAGCAAAAAATAAATTGAATGAAGTGTTACAAAACGTCAGTCATGTAACATTCACGACTGATGGATGGACATCCTCTGCCAATGAGAGTTACATGTCCGTCACCGCTCAGTTTATTTCAGTCAAGCTTGTTTCTTGCTTGCTAGGTTGTTTCGCATATCCCCAAGCACATACTTCTGAAAATGTATGCACAGAATTAAAATGTGTTACCTCAGAATGAGAGATTCAGGATAATGCCCAATTTGTTGTATCAGATAATGCAGCACATATTGTAGGTGCAGTCAGATTAGGTAAATGGAACCATGTTAACCATGTTCCTTGTTTCACACACTCAATCAATTTGATTGTGCAACATGGAATTAAATTGCCAGAAGTATACCAAATAAGAAGCAAGCTGAAACTTATAGCTGAATATTTCAATCGTAACACAAAAGCTAACCAAAAATTATTAGAAAAGCTTAAACGAATTTTTCCTGATTCTCTTCAATTAAAATTGAAAAACGACTGTCCGACCATGTGAAATTCTACATATGATTTGATGTAGCGGTTTTAGAGCTATTTGAGCAAATAACTACCGACATTAATTCAGAAAAAGCTGTAAAAATTTCGAAAATAACTAACGTGTTAACAGGCCTACGAGTGAGAAGTGCAGCGCGAGCTTTGTAAAATTTTAGAGCTATTTGAGCAAATAACTACCGAAATTAGTTCAGAAAAAGCTGTAACAATTTCGAAAATAACTAACGTGTTAACGGGCCTTATTTATGTCCTAAAACAATTTAAATAACGAAATAAAAACTTTAGTTGCTCGACAACTGCTAGCCGATTTACTCGAATCCACTCTAAGCAGGTTCGATAAAATTGAGTACAATCTGATCACTGCCACAGCAGCCTTATTGGATCCGCGGTTTAATCAAAAGCATTTTCATCGCCAGACTCTTTAAAAAAAGTTAAAGATTCATTACAAGGTGAAATAGTGGCGAATCTTAACAAAAAACAAGCAGAACTCATCTCGTCAAAATCAATCAATCCAGGTACTAATCCAGAACAAACTTAGCCTGAATGACACACTTAAAAAATCCAACTTAATTTGGCAAAACTTTGACAATTCGTTCAATGATGCATCCTCTGTTAGTCCTACAGCAACGGCTATAATGGAAATACGCATGTACCTAGAGGAACCAAACATTAGAAGATCGGAAAGACATCTATTATGGTGGAAGTCTAGACATTTGCTCTATAAAAAGTTACTTCAACTGGCGAAAAAAATATTTGAGTACTGTAGCGGCGTCAGTTTCAAGTGAACGCGTATTTTCAAAAGCAGGGCAAATAATTTCTGACCGGCGCAACAGGCTAAAAGCCAAGTGGGCCAAGAAATTATTTCTTAACTGTAAGCAGTTTTTATTTGAAAAATAAATGTTTGTATATTTATTTTGCTTTGAGGTTGAGATACGTGCATCATAGCCCGTTGCCAGTTTCCATACCAGTAACGTGGTGAATTTCAAGGGTGTTCAGCTTAACCAGCTCCGTTTCAGAGATAGTTTTTATCTGACTTTTATAACAGTTTTGGGCTTTAAGAAACAAGTCAGGGAGGCACATCCTTGTCTACAGCGTGCTTACTTCCCTGAGATGTAGATTGAAATCCAAGAGAGAATGAGGCAAACAGAGCTTGAGGTAGACGCGGGTTAAATAAACGACTGGTCTTAATCTGTACCTGAACATATCCTTATTGTTGTAACCTTGCATCGCTTTGGACTTATCGCAACGCACAATTATCGCTTGCTATTTTGAGCGCAGACTGTTTAAGCTTTAACCGTTGCTTTTCAACCGCTTTTGATTCCGTTCAACCCCGAGTTAACCGATTGCCCTCCTCCACTCTAGCACTAGGATAGCTAGATTCAGAAAGAGATGTATTTCATTTACTAATACAACATAAAACTTGTGATATCCCGACCATGCATGAAGTGTACACTTTGCTGCTAATATACTAGTATGTGTCTTGCTTTTAATCATAAATACTGCCCTGTCGGGAGTACGAGTTACAAAAAAAAGTAGTAGATGTAGAAAGAAAAAAGTAAGTATCTCGAGTCTGACCCTTTGAGGGTTAAGCATCAAATCAATGAATTATTTTCTTCACTGAAGCTGCCCAGGGTAACTGTTCCACCTTTAGGCGGCGGCGGTCGATGAGTTGCTGCGCTAGAGGGGCAGTTAGTTCGATAGTTACTAACCCCGAGGAAATAGCGTTATAAATGACAAACATCGCAAACGTACACTTCTTGTTCTGCTCCCTATTTTCTTCCATCCCATCTTGTTCTGAAATCTGAAAGGCACCAATAGATTAACAAAAATACTCCATTATTAGTTTTCTCATTATCCTATTCAAACTTGAAAAGGGATTCCAAAAGAATAAGAATACATTTAGGCAACTGAAAGAGGTTCGCTTTGCGCGAATGAAAACTTGTTTATCTAATAACATTTAAGTTAACTAAATCAACGCATTCCTCTATGGTTCAGATTTATTAATATTGGTTCTATTTGTGTCTAGGTAGCGATAGCTGCCCGTGTCTTGCAAAGGGAACACCGTGTGAATAAGATACTCATCTTCGACTGGGACGTCCACCATGGAAACGGCACCCAAGAGATTTTCTACGACGATCCGAGGGTGCTGGTCATCTCGATGCATCGACACGACGACGGGAATTTTTTCCCGGGAACTGGGGCCGTTTCAGAGTGTGGCACGGGAGCTGGTAAGATTGTATTTCGACTAATACGCTGGGGGAAGCTAAGCAACAGTGGGGATATTTCTAGAACAAAAATAAACACTTGCATAAAAAGTTTATGTAAACATGCCCATTTAATGAGTTACAGAAGTAGAGAGATTATAATTTCGAAACTCTTGAAAAAAATTCCGAAATTTTGTTATGCAATATCGACCAAATTCCGTTTCTTGAGTAAATTAAATGCGTAGATCACGAATAATGTGGCAGTTTTTCGCTGATATCGACAGAAGCACGTTTGCCAACATAAAACAGAGCTTCTCGGCCATATTCTAAAACATCGTCCCCAATTACCCAAGTATGCCGAGTTTCATTAACTTGTTAAAAGTTTGAATGAAGGAAATTTGATTTTTTTGTTGGAGAAAATTTTCAGAATTTTTCAGGTATCTGAGTATTTACTAGAGATTCCACGGATATTCACTTTGCTAAATGCTAAATACAGAATATCCAGCTACGATACTGACCAAAACACCGAATATTCGGACTCCAAATGAGGAAGAGTGTACTCACTTGATATAAACAAATGCTGAAAAAAATTCCATTCATCGTAACTTACATTTGATAGATTTGATATTAATTCTAATACTTGATGGTTATAGTCATTACATACCTTGGTGAAGAAGGATGTTATTATTGACTGAGCACTTTTATAAGCTTAGAAGCATTGCGACGAGAAATATAATCTGCGATGATAGTAATGACCATGTCCACCGAGGTATCAATACTGTTTTTTAACTACTAATTCTGATATATTGGAGTTTAAAATATGTCTGAGAATTTTCTGAACTTCCGGAACACTGCCCGAATAATGCACATGCAATGTCTGCATCACAGGACGGTGCGTACGAGAGGGACGCTGCTGCTACATGATATAGTCCAACAGAAGTAGAGGATACTACTCACGTCGACACAACATTTGTTTCCTACTAATTTTCGAATACTACCACCTATCAAGTAGCATGTTCAAGCTGACAATATAATGCGATAAATAACTACAATCAACTACAACAATTTCAGTTAGCAAAAAGGCTCCATAGTCGCTTGTAGTAAACAATAATTGCTAGTAATATTCAAAATATAACTTCCACTTAAAGGAATGTGGTAAATAATGGCGATTCCTCAGGCTAGTAGTAAAAAATATATATTTATTTTGGAGTATGATTTTTTTATTCAGTACTAGACTAAATCCGCGGCTACGCTTACCTGGAAGTAGCGTAAAGTGTAGATCTTTCGTTTCGCATTAGTGAGAAGGAGATTGGTTTTGCAGAAAGAAATGCAATAGTCTCTTTTGGAAACACTTTTTATCAAACATTTTAATGCAAATATAAATTAATTTCAATGCTTCGCTTTTTTATATAAGTACTTGAAAATTTATTTGATCATAAAATGACCTTGAAGGTCATGGTTCATTATCAAGGATTTACTTGAACTTAATTTTTTTTAATTAAAAATAGACGTTTCCTGTCAAAAATTCATTGGATCTTGAAATGGTCTTGTTGTCCATAGTCTAGGTCATGGACATTTGACATGTAGTTTCTTGTTCTTTTCATTTCCGCTGTCAATAGGGGTTTCAATTTAAGAACACTGTTTTGACCCTCAAATGAGCTTGTAGGTCAATATTACGTTCAAGGTCAGCACGTGTTTTTTCAAACTTTACAACCGTATAACACAACATTTTTCTTTACGAAACGTATTTTTCGAGATATTTTGTCTTTTCTCTACTTTCTGGTACCTTAAAATACTCATGTATATTTACACTAATTTTCGCGAGAAAAAACATTCCCTTTCTTCATGTAATCCACTGTTTGGTTCCAGGCTTAGGCTATAACGTGAACATAGCCTGGTCAGGTGGTCTAAACCCACCTTTAGGCGACGCTGAGTACCTGGCCGCATTTCGAAGTATAGTCGTACCGATTGCTACAGAATTCGATCCGGATATGATTTTAATTTCCGCTGGTTTCGATGCCACGGAGGGTCATTTAGCACCGCTTGGTGGATACAGAGTGTCGCCTGCATGCTTTGGGTAAGTATTTCATTAGATACTGAGCTGATTGAACACCTGGAACTTACCCTATTATAATATTCATATTCATCTGCCTTCAAGGTAACATTTCATTCGATTTTTCTCGCTACTATGCAGTGTGGTTCTAAAATAATCCGAACGGTCCTGTACCTCGACGAGATCGCACAAAGAAAAAACAAGCGACAAGCGAGCATGACATTATTTTTTGTCTAGGATGCACCAGACTCATCGCCCCGAAATCGCAAAACGACTTCCCGAAAGCGAAAACCCAAGAACTGTTGTAGCAACATACCGGTTGACTGTTATGCAATCTTCGACTACTAATATTTCATCTGCTTCGTTCATGAAACCAAAATGCGAGAGATACTTCAGAAAATATACAGGACCGTTCAGTTTGTTGTTGCAATACAACTATATAAGGTTTGCTCAGACAGTGGTCGGTGACTGTGTCTGAAATCCAGTCATGTGAATTCCGCCACTGATAGCGCAGCAGAATGAACGAAGTTTGTGTGGCGAGAACAAATGAGCTGGCATCTGAAAGGCAGATAAACATAAACTACATAGTCGTTGTCAATAATTTGTACCTTTGAAAAGGCCTCTGTTGTGGCCGAAATGTCAGTAAAAAGTAATATATACATTTGTGGTTTCATTTGGCCAAAATATCATGGAGTATACTGAGTTGCACTCCAGTACTCTGGGATTTTATTAATGGGTTTGAAGAATGTTTAGGAACTTTAATAACATTTAAATAATATTAGAGAAAAGTTCATAAAAACCTGTTTTGTCATAAGTAACATTGACAAATAACTATTCCAAGAAATATCTTCACATCTGATGGGAAAAATATTCGCCACCGTTTTTTTGCATAATTCAAAATGGGCCGCTTTTAAAAAATCTGGATTTCACATTTTTTTTTCACCCCACCAACCTTTTTAGGTTAAATTTAAGTCAATTTGAACAAACAATGTTATAAACTGTTCTCTAAAGTTTATAGTTTTCGAGAACTAAGCGATTTGAAATTAAAAAAGTGTCTTCAACCTCAAATAATATGAGAAGATCAAAATATTAATGTTACCAAAATTCATAAATATCATTTGAACAGCATCAAAGAATTTTAGAGGTAATTCTCATTGTAAACCTTTGTTTTTTAATTGTTAATCAAGCGCATGCTCAATGTATATTCTGCGTCAGATTTACAAGCGACTTGGCATCATTCAATTTTTCATATTGTATTTCGGGGTCAAAAATGGCAAAACCATCAATTTAAGAGAAATTTTCATAATAATCTTTTTTTATTCAGAATGACCCACAAAAAAAGAACTCAAAAAACATTGACCGGAGTGAAGGAACCAATTTTAACTAAAACAAATTGTTACAAATTTTGATATAATTTTGGGCATGACGACATGTACTTCCTGGACCTGGACTAATTTGAAATTTAAACAACGATTCATTGTTTCTTTTTTCAGTCACATGACCCACCAGCTAATGCGCCTAGCCCACGGTCGTGTGGTCTTAGCTCTAGAAGGTGGTTATGACCTCCCCTCAATATGTGACTCGGCCGAAGAGTGCGTGCGGGTGCTTCTAGGGGAAGCCCCCACGCCCCTAACTTCAGGAGAGGCTGCCAGGGTGCCCGCCCCTAACGCAGTACGTGCTATGCGGGCGGTGGTACAAGCGCATCGAAGGCATTGGCCGTGTTTGGTGGACGCAGCTGCTACTTCTTTAGCTGGATGGAGTTTGGATGAAGCTATGAGGACTGAGAAGGAGGATAAGGTCAGTATAACTATTATTTTACACAAGCCAACAAAAGTGAGTCGCACCCAGAAACCAGGTTTTTAATGCGCTGAATACAAATCCGTGGTTCTAATATCTCAATTGGCTCTAGTTTGTGAGACAACCGAACCTAAAAGTGCAAAATAGCGATTTTTGACTATATTTATAGAGTAGCATGGTTAATTACTTTTTTCGAAAAACCTTGGGCATCATCTCAAAGTTCAAGCCCATCCCATTGAGTTCACATGAATATATTTTTCTTTCGATGGGATATGATCGGTTAGGATTTTATCAGAGAAAAGTAATTTTTTATTGAAAAAAGTGTGCATTCGAAAGTACGAACGTTACACTCGGCCTTGATAGGGTAGGGAGAGTTGTAGGCTTGAGGTTTGGGTGAGTTTCAGAAACTTTATGGATTTAGTCTCGAGGATTTATGGGTTTTTTAGTTGGCGGGTCTTATTTCACAAAAATTCATCAACTTGTTATTAAATATTTGGTGTGGTGTATCATAATCCAATTATCAACTTTGATGCACACGTAATAATAACGAGTATCAAATATAGTGAAATTTAGACAAACCTCAACTGCATTTGAAAGGTCAAGGCTTGAGCTTGAGCTGTTTTTTTTTTATAAGAAAATTATTTGTTATGCTACATAACTTCAAATATAGGCAAAACTCGCTTTTAGTTTATTATATCTCGGAAACTAGATCCAATTGAGAGATTCGGACCATGCATTCGGATTGAGCACATCAAAAACCTTCCGGAGAGTATAATCAGGTTTCTGAATTAAAATATTGCAATAATATCAGAAAAACTGAGTATAAACCTTTCTCATTGGGACCGTTTTCACTGAAAGCAACTAGCAACCGCAATTCGAAGACACGTGGCATGCTACCTGCTACCTTCTTCCTATGGCGTCCTACAGAAGCCTCTACATGCAGGAATTCAGAGTGCCAAGTCGATCTCTGCCAGTGACCTGGAGCGAAGAAGACTAGCAGCGACTTCCTATCTGGTACAATTACGGTATTTTTCACGAGTATCCATTACGGTAGAATGACAACTGCCAGTCTCTGGATACAATGCGATGCGTGCGTCGCGGTCAGGTCGATGGGTCGCAGTCGGTAGTTGCTGACGTACTGCCGTGGATCGTCATTTGCGCGAGGTTACTCGAAACAACGTTCATGTGCGTCCGCACGAGTTTTTCTCAGGAGGAAGAGAATGTGTGTACCTGACTTTTTGAAGAGCGGTGGTAGCAATCTCGGGGTGTGGGGAGGCGGTTCGGTAAATCCTAAAAATCTCCAAAATACTCAGATGTATGCTAAACATTCACTGCTGTGTGACTCCAATCACAACAAGAGGTGTGCGATTCGAAAATGTGTGAAGTGGAATCTGAGTGGAAAAATCGGGAAACTGCTGTTGCAATATATTTGAAAACGTCACAATACTTATATGATCAGACTAACTAGCCAAAAGTGAACCCTGCTGTAGAATAAATTGCATAGAAGGATTTTACAGAGGAGTTATAATATTCTTTAGAGTGAATGCATCTAGAAGTAAAAAATTCTTATTTTTTTCCAAACTTCAAAGGTATGTCTATAGATAAAAGAAATTAGAAATAATAGGTATGTCAAGTTCGCTGCCATAGAGTGCATAAAAGTAAATATGAAATAGCAGCCAAAAGTTAAAGCCTTTGTAGTAATTAACATAAAAAAAGACATAAATGCTCAAGCTATCCAGCGACGTAACGTTTGCAACAAATTAGGCATGCAGGGTGAGTTTTTAGTAAATTTACAAAAATTGTGGAATCGTTTCCTATTTAGAAAATATATTGCCCTCTACAGGGTGATTCATAACAATATAGCAACATTTTGAGTATATTCAAATATGCCACTTCAAACGAAGAAGTTTCGATATAGCTGGGGACATTGTACTAATTCCGGAAATAATTTCTCTTTGTTGTTTTTCCACTATTACCTGAAATTTCGTCATATAGCCAAAAATAGTTTTATACAATATTTATAATATTTACCTAGTTTCATCTAGAGTGATTTGAAAAACAAATTTGTCATATTTTTGCCATTGTCATCTTCGAAACGGTAAGAGATACAGGTCGGTTGAATGCTAGCAAAGATGCGTAATTATATATTTTAGAAAATTCATTTTAAAATATTGGACACTTCCAGTATCTACGGGGATGCAGGGAAAAGGCAACGAATTTTTCCAAAAACGATTCTAATTTTTTCTGAATTTATTTTAAATAGGATTTCATAATAAACTGCACTAACATTGCCACTTTCTGACGTCTGCAAGGCGGTATAAGTAGAATATTAATATGATCTTTCGTATCTTATCCCCAGTCTCAACTTTGACTTTTTTATGTATGCCATTTTTGAATAGTTTTGAATTTCGATTTCAAATATTATAGCATATCATACATTAATATTGTAAATCTAATTATTTTGAAAAAACGAATTTTTCTGGGTAAGCCTTGAAATTATCATATAGTATTTTATTTCATAAAATATCAAATAACAGGTTACTTATTTCAACTGATCCTAATAATTTCCCGTCTAATAGATATTGATTCAGTTTGAGGAGAACCATGTTGATGTACAATTTAATTTTTATTAAAAACGTTTTTTCATATAATTTTTGCCGAGCTAGAGAGAAGGGGGGTCGCTGATGACAACCCGCTGCCCCCCACCCCTAATACGCCCGAGCGTCAAGGTCAAATTTCGTAAGAAGTAATTCTAGACGGGGATGGCTGCGGGATAGGCTGCTGTGTGTTTCCTATGCTGTGGATATGATCCGCTCAATTTTTTACTATACGTGTTCGTAGCTAACTTTTTCTCGGAGGTGCTAGAGTCAACCTACTTGACGTCATTTTTGTTTTTCAGGACACGGTGTCAGCGATGGCCAGCCTTTCGATGCACCAGAGTCTGATGTCCCCTCAAGCGATGGTCACGTCTCCTCAAGCCATGGTCACCTCGCCCATAGGCTTCCACGGGAACCCTCAAAGGGCTGGACATTCGCCAGCATGACACTGACTCTGGAGCCCTTTTTGTTGAATGCTGAATTGTATGTTGGGTGTGTTTATAGTAAATATGGCTGCTGATGCTTTATAAAGTTACTATTTGTGCGCGTTTTGTGTTGAGCGGACGGGTTTGACAGATTTGTTTGACGTCCATTTCAGATTTTGGTTTCTGCAAAACCGTGGGAATCGAGGCGGTCGAAGATGTGTGGAATAAAAAAAAATTTCACAAGAATGAGTTTAGCGCTCGAATATTTTTGAGAATCCTTCTGCATATAATTTTCCTCTTTTTAAGAATTGCTTAAAACGGTTTTCATATGAAGCTGAAGTCATTGTCTATAAAATGGTATATGCATTATTTTTATAACCAATCGAAAACGTGATTCAAACTGAAGTATAACTATTGATTAACGTATTCTGCCTGAAAATGGTCAACGACGTCTTTGCGACGTCCAGAAAGACATTTGAAAGATCTTAGCGCCATGTATGGGACAGTAGCAGAGCACAAAAATGAATTTAAAAATCTACTTTGAAAAGAGACTCTTTGGTTCTTCTACTAGCTCACAGATGGTGCTATGGTCTTCAATCCCTTTTTGGCGCCTCTCTTAATGCCATTTTAATTGAATATCTTCAGGTGGAATACTTTAACCAATGCCTACAGATATTAGAACGCTCAGAAAGCAATTGAAAATCCTAGCCCCATTTATGACACTTGCAGAACGAAACGCTCTTTGCAAAGTAGCTTACTAAATTCATTTTTCTGTTCTGCTACTGCGTCATAGATGGCGCTTGTAGCTTTCATATAGCTTTTTTGACGTCGAATTACAGTGTAATTATGGTTAGATATTCAGGTAGAATACGTCAATCGATGTTATTACCTATTGCGAATTATGGTATAACAATAGTTTTTGAGAAATGAAAAGGAAGAAATCTCAGTTCATGAAAGAATGATATAATTGAAAGTTTTGAGGCTCTAGTATTTGGTCAAATTGGTATGAATTGGTGAATATTGTTAATAAAGACGATCGAATCTGTCAAACGCGTCACACCATTGAGAACTATGACTTTTTCACGGAAACAAGGGGTATTTTTCACGTGCAACCCTAACGTGCTTTTGCATAAATTGTATGCAAATGATTCTTAAAACTGTTGAAACTTCAGTAACAATTATTTGCTCTATTTTCACTGTTTGAGAAAATGCTAGTCGAACTTTTGTGAAATAATTGAAATATTTTGACTCTTGAAAAATAGCACCTTTTGTTTGTTAGATCTATTTAAATGTTTTTGCTGTAATAGTAGATTAATAACGTATGATATATACAGGGTGATCGAAAATTCAACTATATTGTTAATAAAAAGAAAACTATAAAAATGTATTGATGTTATTGTGGTTCTTGCAAGGGTTTAGATGTTACTTGATATTTTGCAGCATTCAATGTTTTTTGAGGATTGATTTCGGCCTAGAATAAGAAAGTATGGTTCCTTGTCATCCCTAAACATCATGTAGTAATAGTTGTTAATTGTTCATATTGATGGCACATTTCTGTCACCGTCCAAGTATTTCTTAAAGAAATTGTCTTTTTTTGGGTCCGATGACGAATTTCTTAAACCAATCCTTTGTGAGTTTAAGCCAAAAGGTGCTATTTCGGTTGATGTATTATCATTGATTAAGGTTGATCTTCAATGATATTATTCCGACACTAGGTTCTAGTAAAAAACTTCTTAATGGTGAACATATAGGGTGTTTCAAAAGTTTCCAACCCCTTCTATATAAAAAATACCGCGTGAACAGAAAAAATGCTCAAATAAGAAGTTGCAAGGTTCTGAGAGAACAATCTGTTGGTGACCTTGACCATAACCTTCAAGGTCTTTCAGAGGTCAAATTGAAAATTTAATAATAGGCTCGCATTACATTCAAACATGTCCTTGACCATGACCACGAGGTGATTTATAGGTGAATTAATTTCAATGTATTTTCAAGGTCAAACTAAGATTAAAACACAAAATGTTCCGTCCTTTGTATTGTGGGTATACATTACAGTTCCATTTAAATTTTCAAGTTGACCTCCAAATGATCTTGAAGGTCTTGGTCAAGGTCATACGACATCTTGTTACCAAATTTTCAAGTTTATCTTGAAAATCGATGTCTTTGTCACCATTAGATTGTTCTTTCAAGTCCCTGTAACCTTTTTTGATATTTTTTTTGTTTGAGCAGTATTCAGAGTTATAGTACTGGCTAATGTTTTTTTCTTGTATTAAGTACTGTTGAAGATATAGGTAATGTGTAAAAAATCGTACTTAGTAGCATCGTTTTCAAAATATTGGACTGAGACGTTTGATGAATCGTGAAGCCTGCTCTATTTTGTAAAATGAGGTTATATCAGTTGATATACGATTGTTCAAAAGTCTTCTGTGAAAGGCCGGATAGCCTACATACATCCAAACTTATTAGTGTTTGGAGAAAAAAAAACATATGGCCTTCACATCTGTATATGGGTGTATCCCGAAGGAAAATAAGGAAGGAAAGGGAAATGCAACTAGAAGCCACTAGGCACATTTGTGGCTTTGATCGGAAGTCCTCGTGTTTATGAGATATCAACCAACAACAGTTCAGAGGCCAGCTATGGCTACCTACCATGAGCAAATACAAAGAAAGATAAGAAGATAAAAACAAACTTAAGTTTCCGCACGATTACTTGACTTTACTTATAAGTAACATAAGTAACACTGACAAGTAACTAGTTATTTTGACTCCTTTCTTTGCAAAATTGTTTTTTTTTTCATCCGACCAGTCTGTTTTAATGTTATTTGAGTTATTCTGAACAAACAGGTTTCTCATGAACTTTTCTCTAAAATAAAAAAATCCCGGGATATAACCGATCTAAGATTTAACAGAGAGCAAAATGTGCCATCTTCCACTACAAAAAACTTCAAACACCCATTAACAAAATCCTAAAGTATTTTAGGGAGTGTTGTTGTTGTAAACCATGTTTTTTAATTTAAATGCTTTGGAATTTTTTCATAATTTTTTCAGGGTCAAAAATGGCACATTTCGTAATTTTTAATATAATAAATCGCTTATATCTCGAAAAACTATCAACTTGGAAAAAACAATGTAGTTTTAGTGCAGATTCGAAGATATTTCCTGCACCATAAGTTTTCTATCACAATTGCAATAGATCCATTGTCATTAATTGTATAGACACTTGAGGTATGCTCCAACAAGCAATCCTGACTAAGTTGCTGAATTGACAAATGATCTATCCTTTGCTTCAACACATCGCGCGACTTGGAACTTGAAAGCAATCATTAAACTAGTAAAATTCATAGTGATGTATATTTTGCTGCCTATTGGGTGTTACAGCACTATCCCAGAAAAACCTCATTTTAGTCTAACTTCAAGATTACGATATCAGAAACATTGCTACTTAGCGCAATATTGTATGCATATTACTTTTAAGTATTCAACTACATTAATCAAAGAAACAAATGATAGCTAAGGGACAGAAAAAAAATTATTGCAAACTGCCCACGGTCACTGAAATGCTCATTTTTTTCAAATTCAGTGATATTTCCTATGTTCACCATTACCTATTTTATATTTGACCTCTGATGATTTATCTGTATATCATCCTGATTATCGAATGCTTGAATTCACATAAAACGAATAATTAGGTTATTTCTGTAACTAACGAATTCTAGCTGAAGATAGATATAATATAATCCCGCGTCCCAAAAATTATTCAAGAGTAAATGAAATGAAATTAGAAATCTACTTGGAAAAGGGTTGTGTCCTATAAATGGTACTGTAGCCAACTATATTAGTATTTAGCATTTGGCGCCATCTATGAGACATCAACTTTATCAAAGTAGATTACGAATCAGTGCGGAGAGGAAGAACATAGCTGTGATAAATTCTCATAGATCTCGGATAATTTCTTGGATGCGAAAATTACTCTTTGGTTGGCTAGCTTCAGGTAGAAAACGTTATGGCTGACTTGCCTTTATATAATTAATACATTACAGTTGGTTCGTTCCAAACCATCTCAACCTCAGAGTCAGGCTAGGTCAAGTCCAAATAAGTGGTTTTGAGATAGGTGGGTCTTAAAAGTAGCAAATAAAAGTTAACAATATTCAGTCTCACTATCACAGATTTTGAGATTTGCTAGTTATAGAGATGCCTTAAAAAAGCAACTTATATTCCGCTCAAATTATAGTGGATGTGGCCTATGACAACAAAGGAGTATGTTGAAGAGGGTTTGAAAAAACTGAATGGATCTGTATCGCGTTGCAGATACAGAATTGTAGCTACGGGCCAGACTAAAAGTGCTTTTTTTGCTTTAAATGAGTTTTATATGTTGAGGTCATGATAATTACAGGGTGTTTCAGAACTAAGGGATCAAACTTCTAGGGGTTATTCAGTGTAACAGTAAAAAACATTTGAGTATAGGGACCCATATCCGGAAAAGTGTCACTACGGCCCTAAGACGCGTTAAAATTTAGAAAAACGATGAATTGCCTAAATAGGATTTAATGCATTTAAATGTCTTCCTCCAACCTGAATACACCGATTTAAACGTCGCACATGATTTCGGCGGACTTGACTAAACATTTGATACTCGTTTTGAATGATTTCAAATGCTGCTGTAATTCGTCCAATTAAGTCTCCTAAATTTTAACGCGTCTTAGTGCCCTAGATACACTTTTCCGGATATGGGTCCCTATACTCAAATGTTTTCTACTGTTACACTGAATAACCCCTACAAATCTGATCCGATAGTTCTGAAACACCCTGTATTGTGAACTTTCATTTGCTACTTTGTTAGACCCACCTATCTGTAATAATAAGGACGTCACGGCTTTATAAATCATGTTAATTCGCATATAATACAATACAAGAAAAATATTTAAAACGCAATTATCTCAAAACTACTTATTTGGACTTAATCTAGTTTGACTTTGAGGTTGAGATAGTTTGGGAAGAACCAACGGTAATGAGGCAGGAATATCTGCAACTTGAAAAGGATTATGAGCAGATCTACAGTGCAAGAAAGGTCTTTAAACGTCTGATGTTATGAATGTGGTAAGAATTTATATGTGAAGATATATAATTATATTTGTAGTTATACTGTGATTCCACGGGGTATCATATACCCGGAAAATCAAGAAAAGTGTAACACCTGTGTTGTAGTTTAAAAACTGACACTGTTTGTCCCATTTGAAGGTGCGATTTTTTGTTTAAGTTTTTGGTGAAAAGACAAGCTTTTCCTTCTATTGTCAAAGACTCAACGTGAGGCAGTGCTTTCCAGAAAGTCCTCCTATTTACTTTTTTACGGATCAAAGTGAAATTCGGAAGGAATTATGATGTTGATGTATGAATACATTTTAACGTAAAAGTGGCAGTTGAAATTATCAAGACGGCTGCTAGGCAACATCTTGTTCTTGAATGGTATGTCCCTATTTTGAAGCTGTAACATAAAATCACTGTATTCCAAAATGGCGGACTGTCAGACGGTCAAAGTTGAGCGGTTTCTACATTGCTTATAACGCAACAGCTTATCAAAACACTAAAAAATGTCAAAATGTGTCAAGTTTTCTTAAACTGAATATTCCATATTTTATTTTGTATACAGATAGACCATCCCAAAAGAAGATTGATATACCACAACGTTTTCATGGCGTCCAGCATATCGAAATTTTCAACTGCCATTTTTACGTTAAAATATGCTATTCATGTAACAATTGCATTACCCCGAAATTCAACTTGCTAAGTTAAACCGTTTAAAAAATAAGTAGGGTGGGGTGGCTTTTTGGAAAATACTGTATACTGTAAACCATGTATACGATTGTTAAAAAATGGGACGTCCACAAGTGTGTGTTGGATATGCCTTTTAAAAAAATATAAAATATTTCAGACCGTCTTTCTAAAGTAAATCGTACCTTCAATCTTGGTGTTACAGTGTATTTGCAGTACATTCTGTATAATGTGTAAATGTTACTTTAATGACCTTGAAATTTTTGGTCAACGGTACATTCCTGCTGTCGCTCAGAGTGACGCCTCTTATTATGAATATCAAATTTATTGTGTTTTATTTTTGTTAATATATTGAAAAGTTTTTAATAAAATCATTTATTTACTTTAATCGTGTTCTATTAAGGCCAACCTGTATCCCCATCGAAGCCTAATGCAAAACTTACCTCCACATACGAGAAACGGTAGATTACATAATATATCTAGGTTTTAGGTGAATTATCAATTATGAACTCCTCAAACGAGGATCGTATATATATTTTTTTTTTCATTGGCAACACATAACATTCGATTATTATTTATAGTTCACTACAGGCTTATAGTGTATGTTTAAATATTTTCTGCTTCTTTATGGTACCGACCCGCGTATACCGGGACATTGTATGATACAGGTCTCATAGGTAGTAGACGGTCTCTGATTGTCGAACGCTAGGTGGTACCTCCTAGCGGATCTCTTAAGGCGGGTTCAAAATGTGTGCATATTGGAGGCACACGTGTTCCCCCGCTAGAGTCGGTGTGGCGACCACCCTCCCTTTATCCCCTATATTCCCACGATACCCATGGGTGTTTAGGTCTTCGTGGTGGTTCGGGTATTAAAGAAATGATGGAAACTGGTTCATCTGTATAAATTTAACATTTAAGCAATGTGCAATAATGTAAAATAGTTCACTTCGAATGTAGCTAATCTACAATAAACTGCATTGTCTCCAAACAAGAATAGCAAATCACATAATTTGAATGTACTACAAATGAACTCGACTCGAACCGCTAGGCCCTACCACCTTTTGGCTTTTTCAGGGCCATCGATAAAAGAACATAAACAAACACTAAGTCTGTCGTGAAGTATACCTAGGTGACAATAGGCAGCTTGCGGTTATCACTCTCACAGTTTTCACTTCTGGTAATACATGGCACTGCACAACTACGAATATATGTTATAACTACGTCTATGCTAATAAAAGTGGAATTCATATCTAATGCCACTCTGCCCGCTATGACGAAATGCTATAAAATATTACTGTACTAGGAGGGGTTTTTAGTGAGTATTCCACATTTCTAATAAAATTTGTCACCTCATAAAAAATTATCTCCAATATAGCATTCCTTTGTTTGTATAACTGTTACAATTTTATACTTTTAACTCATGAAATATTGAATAGCCTTCACTTATATTGTTATACAGGGTGACAGGTAAATAGGTGTAAAACATTTTAGGAGGTGATAGTACAGCCCCTTTGCTATCGAAATTAGTATATAATACCATACCCTATATTCAAAGGTTGAAAAGTTATTGAAGATTTAAGATTTTTTTAAAAACAATCCATATCTCAGAGTAAAAAAGTCGAGAGAGAAAAAAGTTGGCGACTAAACATTTGTTTTTTGTGGTTTTGGGTTATTATTTCAATAATTAACTATTATAAATTAAAAAAGATTCGAAAACAATACCAAACAACGTATTTATTTTCATTCAAAAATGTTTAACTAAGAAAAACAAATAACGTTTTACAGTAAGTAAGGTGTTTTACAAAAAAATCAGTATACAAAAAATCGTACAAACAATTTAAATAATATCCTTGTTTCATAAATTGGTATGATAAGTGCACAAAAACTGTATGAAACTAAACATAATGTATTGTAATACAATAGGGAGTAAATTTACAAATGGCTTGTCTCCTATTTTCACAACTCTCTGATTGATAAAAAAGTGTTTTTGTGAAAATAATGTAACTGTAAGCTATGGGATAGTTATTATTTTAAACTACAGTTAAGTTACACGATTAGATTATTTACACAGTTGTAATTGTACTACAGAATATTAAAAACTGACTAAAAGTTACTACAATTGGTAAGTAAAATACCATAATGAAATGGAGGTAAAATTCATTGCAATTGTTGTTCGAACTGACGCCCGCCGTTTCTTATGCAAGCCCGTAGTCTTTTTCTCATGTTGGTGCGCGTGATGCGGCCAGTTAGTTGTCCTCTGATAGTGTCAGTAGCAGCAATAATTCTTTCTTTCAACTGTGCAAGAGTGCCTATGGGCTCAGCGTACACCAGTGACTTCATGTGCCCCCATAAATAATAGTCACACGGTGTTAAATCTGGGCTCCTCGCTGGCCACGGTGTCGGTCCACCTCGGCCAATCCAGCGACAAGGATATTTCTCGTCCAGCCAGACGGAAATGCGCGGGACAGCCATCGTGTTGGTAGATCATCTGCATCCTGATATTCAGAGGCAGGTCTTCGAGATACTCCCATAGTTCGGATCTCAAAAAGTTTTCATAGGATTCGCCATTCAGGTTGTCAGGCAAAAAAACTGGTCCAATTAGATACGTATGAATGATTCCCATCCACACGTTTACCGAAAATCTTCTTTGATGGGCTCTTGGCTTTGCCATGTGGGGTTTTGCCTGTCGTGGGGCCCAATAATGTAAGTTGTGCTAATTTGTTGTCCCCTCTCTGTCAAACTTAGACTCGTCGGTCCACAATATTTTAGTTAAATAGTCGTTTTCTTCTTGATCCCGATGAAGCATGTATCCACAAAAATCAATTCTTGCGGGATCTCCTTCTTCTAATACTTGAACCGGTCTGTAATAGAAAGGATAAAGTCTCGCCGAATGCAAAACGAACCAAACTTTCCACTGAGTTAAACCAAGCTGCTTTGCTATAACTCGTGTAGACGTCGTCGGGTCTCTGCCGTAGCATTCCAGTATTGCTTCTCGATCTTCGTGGTCAAACAACCGAGGTCTACCAGCATCATGACGTCTCTCATGAATCTGTCCACTTTCCTTGACGCGTTGGTACACAGAAGCAAATACTCGATGACTCGGTATTCGCCGATTCGGAAAACGGTTTTCGTATTCTCGCCTGGCTTCAACGGAATTTCCATCACTTAAACCATAACAAAACAGAATATCAGCGTATTCTTCGTTACGGTAACTCGCCATTATTAAAACTGATCAAAAAAAGTAAAAGTACGTCCTACCGCGTTAAAGGTTGATATTCTACTAACTAACCTAAGCGTTAGTTCCCTTTCCTTGATCCGTCAGCTGTGTCAATTCATAACACACGCAGAGCTTGCTTCCGAGGAGCGACGATAGATTCCGAATACTTAAACCCGAATATCGGCACAGGGTACAAAAAATAACAAAAAGGGTCGAACCATGAAAGGCTCGGTTTACCTGCTCAGTACAATGAAATGCGCTTAGCGGTCCTTTCTAGCAAAGTAATATTGTTTTGTTAAATGGTTTACTTACTGATATGTTATTATACCATTTTAGAAACCTAATGAAACGAGGAAGTTTTTGCAGTTATTTGTACATTTTCTATATTATGATTTTTTTGACAAAAAAAGACTTCTTAATGTGAAAGTTGAAAATAAAAATTTTCATTTAACATTTAAATGAAAATAAATTCATTTTCAGTAGTGTTTTCATGTTTTTTAATTTATGAGAATTATTTATTTAAATAATAACCTGAAACCACCAAAAAAAGAATGTTTGATCACTAACTTTTTTTTATCTCAACTATTTTACTCTGTAATCTGGGTTGTTTTTTAAAAAAAATTAAATCTTCCATAACTTTTTAACCTTTGAATATAGGGTATGGTATATACTAATTTTGATAGCAAAGGAGCTGTACTATCACCTCCTAAAATGTTTTACACCTATTTACCTGTCACCCTGTATACATCATATTTTTTATACACCTACATTTTTAAACTTCTAACATATCAAATGTATTCATGTTTTTTATATTGTTTTTCAGTTTTTCTTTTTTTTTGATTAAGTGGCACAGTAGCATTATGCTGAACTTCGCCCCCTAAATAAAGACGATTTATTATTATTATTATTTCTGGAAATTCTCATACTTCGTTTAAAGTAATTTCTACCACATTCGATACAATTTTCCATCCGCTATGCCAAGTTTCACCCGGGAGTGCGACACACTCGTTGTCCCAAGTCCTCAGAAGGTCCTCATCGCTAGAAAACCGTTTTCCTTTTAGATTCATTTTCACATGCGGAAACAGTGCAAAGTCGCAGGGAGCAAGATCTGGACTATAAGGAGGGTACTCAATAAGTTTCAGTCCATTAGTGGTCAAATATTCGGTGCAGGCTTTGGCGCGGTGAGCTGAAGCGTTGTCCTGGTGAAGGTACCAAGTATTCATTCATGACTTTGGCCGCAGGTTTTCATAGACTCTATGATTTTACGCAGTCGCTGTTCCGTATACCACTTAGCTGTGACTGTCTTCTGTGTGTCCAAAACGACACGCTCCACAATCCCGCTCGATTTGAGAAATACAACTATCATTTTGTTCTTAACAGATCGGAATTTTCTGACAGCTACAGGTGTTTCATCATCAAAGACCCAAACTTTGTTTTGAGCCTTAGCCGGCACATCGCAAATATAGAACCAAGTCTCGTCACCTGTCACGATGCTGTTCACATACCGAGATTGCCCCTTATCCAACATTTTCAGCATCTTTCGGCAGACTGTGCTGTACCCAGAGAGAACAAAGTTTCCTTACGTGTAAATGGTCATGCAGAATTGAATGAATTGCTGGTGCATGAAGGTGTAAGGTCTCGTCTATCGGTTGGTATGTCACTCTCCGGTCTTCGTCAAGCATTTACCTGGCAGCAGTAATGTTTTCCTCTGTTACTGACGTTCGCGGCGTTCCTTCACTCTCAGCGTCCTCCAGAGTGAAATTGCCCCTTTGGAATTCTCTGTACTACCTGATTATAGTCGCATGATGAGGACAATCATTCTTCAATGCAATCGTCATTTCTTCTAAGCACAGGTCTGTCAGAATGCCATAGTTCGTTACACTGTCAATACGAATGAACAACTAAATCAACAGACATGCTGCTGGCGGCAACTATGCACTCATGGACATGTCTCAACATGCAGCCTCCTGCGTCCGCTTGTTAAGTCATATTGCAAAATTTTCATAGTACCCTTTGTAATAATAATAAATGGCCTTTATTTTACCGGGCGGGTTACATCAGCAAAAGCTGTTTTTCAGAACCAACCAGGGCTAAAAAATTACAAGTACATTCAAATACAAAAAAAAAATACAAAGAGAAGATAAGAAAATTTAAAGCAGAAACATTTTTTTACAGCGAAGTGCATCTTGGCCTATGCATGGAATAATGACCAAAAGAGAAACGTGTACCAACAGAGTGCGTACCAAAATCAAAAACCATGCTTAGAAATAACTTTAAAAAACATTATATGGCGGAAGATATAAAAAGTAAACAGCAAACAGACTCGTATACAAAACACAAACAAATGAAAAGGTGCAAGTGAGGAAACATTCACAAATAAACAAATACGTTACATGTCATCAAAGACAGACAGTTAATTATTTCAAAGCTTGAGGTACTTTATTGTAGATATCGGGTGCCATATGAAACGCTTTTTCTGACTTGGATTGTTTGGTGCCGAGGCATGCCAAGAGTATATCCTACAAAACGCAGTTTTGCCGAGTGATGATCACATCTCATGGTAAGCTTGTTCTTCGAATAAATAGGCATTTTATTATCAAAATACTGTAGATCAATGATAATAGGTGCAGTCTCCATCTTTGTAGCATAGTAAGCCATTGAATATTTTTAATATGATCAGATGCCCTCTCCCTAATTTGAATACCTAAACTTAATCTTATGCAGCTGTTTTGTACTTTTTTGAGTCTGTATGCATCCCTCTGTGTTAGATATGGTCCACAGACAAGGTCCCGTATTCAAGTACACCGAGAGGACACAACTTAACCTTAGTCTGCTTGGACAATACATTTTTATAGCTATAAATTGATTTCAACTTAGCATAGGAACCCTGAACAGCTTTGGTGACATGATCAAATGTAATGTCCAAGTTGCGAACCGTGGCAAAGTTCTTCACCTCCAATACACAGCTTTATTGATTGATATGATAGCCGACTTCCTAGAGTGAATACATAAGCTATGTTTGTTATACTAGACACATATACTATTTAAATCCTCAGACAGCATCTCATTCGCTTCGGTTTACATAGCAGGGTTGCAAGATGAATAAATATGTGTATCATCTGCGTAGGTATGTAATTTGCGGTATTTAGTAACTTGATCCAAGTCCGCTACACACAAAATAGGTCCGAGAGTAGACCCTTGAGGTACACCTTTGAAGACAGTACCCTCCTCTAATAAGATGTCACCGATTTTTATCTTATGAATGCGTTCATGAAAATAACTGCAAAATCATTTAATCGAACAATCGGAGAGACCAAAATAATGAAATTTTGCAAAAAGTAATTCGTGGTTCAGGAAATCAAATGCCTTACTTAGATCTATCATTACAGCAGTAGTAAGTTTACTATTATCTATTACCTATGCGAAGTCGTCACAAACATCGAGCAGAGTTGTTACAGTGCTGTGCTATTTTCGAAAGCCCGACTGCGTAGATGGAATTATCTTGAAGGTAGTCACGTGTTGCATCAATTGCTCATATACCAATTTTCTCTAATGCTTTCGATAACACTGGAAGGATACTAATTGATGGTCTTTAATCACCAAATCCTTCTAGAGCATCAATTTTAGCAAAAGGTCTAACGCATGTGACTTTCCAAATTTTAGGGCTAACCCTTTTTCAAGCGAATAGTTAACTATGTAAGTAACTGCTTTAGAACAAAAAGGAAACAGTAGAGCTAACATATTTCTATTTAAACCGTCTAGTCCAACCGCCCGAGATTTTATTTTATTGAAAATCTGTAATACAGCCGAGCTTTTCTGCCTGAGAGTGGCTATAAGAGCTTCACCGTTAAAAAACATCTGAAACTTATCCTGTGGTTATCCCGCCGATGTAATTTGATATTTCACTCCCCGCCATATAAAATCACAGATGACAATTTATTAATGTTTCGGCAACAACGGTAACCGTTTGCAAAGTATAAATCAAAAAATGACATATTAACGACGTCCAGTATTTATTTGATTTTCCTTGTTCAAAAGCACCTCTTAAAAAATGTTGCAAGTAGGTTGACTCTGTATCTCACATGCGGCTGAAAAGGGTCGTTCTAGGAAAATAAAAATCACTCATTAAAAGCTCTATATGAAATACAAAAGTAATAATATACAAGCTATTAAACTTAAAATACTGCACAGAAAATCACACACACATACATACACATTTAAAATCATAATTTGTAAACCCTCTTGGAGGGACTTTTCACCGCCCTGATCAACTGTTGATTCGTGAAGCTACTGTTTTCTTTTTTGGAGTGTGACCAAGGTTTGTGGTCTTTTTCGCACTACAAGGTTGTTCCTCTTGAATTGTGAATGTTGTACTCCTGGCCGCTCTGTCGCTAATCTCATTCTAAACAAAATATATATTTTTGGTTATAATTCCGAAAATTTTGGATTTGAACTATGGAAGAAAAGACTATGCTGAAGACTTATAGCATTGATGATAGCCAACTTAATGCTGTATTTTGGTGTCTAAGAAATTATCCAAGGTGAATTCAGATATCCTGGCGTCATTTATGAGAATTTATCACAACTATGTTTTTCCTTTTCTCTATCATCAGAAATCTACTTAGAAAAGGTGTCCTAACTTTATGAGCATATAGTTGGCTAATGTTGATGACTCAAGACAATTTCATAAATAAGCAGAACAAATGAGCTGTTGATGAAAAAGTAAATAAAAACATTTTTTATCAAACAAAAAAAAGCATATATTGACTGTGGTTGCAATGCAAAGAAGATATCTTAAAGCTAAATGACATCTTGTCAAGACATAGACAGATATTGGATTTAAAATGTCGCCATTTTATTTATTGTTTTGTTTTGTACCTCATGACAATTCTTAGATGATGTTATGTGTTTAAATATTTTAAAGTCCGTAGCATAGAGAAGACATTCTGAATTTTTTATACAGTTTGGTAAGTCGTTAATGAAAATACAGAACAGCAAAGTACCAAGGTTACTACCTTGGGGTATCCCCGATGAAAAAATGTATTGGTTTGATACGGCTCTCCCAATCTTTACCTGTTGTGGCCTCATGGTAAGATAAGATGCCATAAATTTATATGCAGTTATAGAAAAACCAAATATACACAGTTTAGTTACCAACAGGCTATGGTGAACCCTATTGAAAGCTTTGGCACAATCTGTTCAGGATATCTTGATATAATGTTTTAAAAAAAAAATCGCAGGAGCATTAAGAACAGTAATACGCCTGTAATTGTTAACTAAACTGGCATCTCCTGACTTGAATATTGGAGTTACAGCTGCATTTTTAATTTTTTCGGGAGTGTATCTATCTACCCTTAGAGACACATTGAAAATTGTCATTAGTGGGGGGCACTCAATATATCGGAACAGCTGTTGTAAATATATTAAGGGATGTTATCACTACCAGTTGCCTTTTTTGGTTTTAGCTTTTGATACTTGCTTTAACCTGCGCCTCGGTGATCTGGGAGAATATAGTCGCTATTACACATATGAAAATTTGATTTGAATGTATCAGCGATTTTCTGGGAATCACAAATGGCACAACCCTCATATATAACATCTGAAGGAATACCAGGCTTTACACTCTTGGACCTTACGAAGCCCCAAAAGCTACTTGGGTCAATGTTGACATTATTTTCAATTATCTCATAATAGGCCAGACATTCTCCTGCAGTTTGGTACTTGATTGTGGTTCTTAAGCTACTGTACTTTTTTCGACCTCCAGACTAGCTTTACCTTTTTTAATTTGTCTGTGAAGAAGATTTTTTAATTTAATGTTTTTGTTCAGTGCCAGGGAAAAGTAAACTGGATAATTGTCACCATTATTCGTGGCTCTATTCACTGCATTTTTTGGTATCGTTTGGTCTAAACATCCATAAAGCTTTTCATTGAATAATATATATTCACCTCTTCAATTTTCTGAAGATCTGACCAGTCAATATCTTCTAACAGTCTGTATAGCCTATAAAAATCTCCTTTCGAGTAATCATATATCCAGGCTTACTGTAAATATGAATAGATTTATTTTTTAATAATACCGGTATAAACATACTCAGGGCAGGACGGTTCCGATCCTCATCTAGAATTGGGTCATCACATTTTTCTATGACATATTTGACAGTATAGGATCAAGTTGCCTCCGTTTTACATTAAGCACAGTATTCATTTGATTCAAATCATATAGACTTGTAAAGTCATTCAATAATTTGCTATTTTCACAGTCTTGTATTATGTAAAATGGAAGGTTAAAATCTCCTAAAACTATCACATCCACATTCTTATCTAAAATGTTCTCAAATGTATTGAATAATTACACATGTGTATCACACGTTTCGTTTGGTGGAATATAAACATCACATAGATAGGATATTTTCTTTTTAAAATGAATTCTAACTAGTAAACACTCTTTTGGAACTCTCAAGTTTTAAGGGCAAATATACGGGCAAATTTATGATGTATGAAATATGTCTAATAGTTGCGTAGAATTATCGAGGTTGGAAACGTAAAAAATACTAGCATCTAAAAATTGACATAATACATACTCTCCCCCACACCCTTCATACCCCAACATCCGATTTTTAACCCTGTAAAAAGGTTTCAGGAAATGATCAGGATCCTCTAAAACGTCAAAAAACGAAGTATGAGCGATTTTAATTAATGTCGTTTTGGCATGAGAAGTAAAAAAAAGCCGGATCAAAGGCAATAAAAATTGATTTTGATGTAACTCACTACAAAATCGACGTATTCATCGTCGTCAGCACCAGGGGCTTTCAGGAGCTTCTTTTGTAGGGTGTGACTCCGCCGTTTCTTCTCTATTTTTTTGAGTTCCATTGAGTTCCTTTTGCCAATGTGTACTGTTACTGTTATTTTTGGGACAGCTGGAACAGAAACATATTAAATACTAGCTTTTTGTGCGCGGCTTCGCGCATGTAGATTTCGATTGTCGTCAAAATTATGTGCAAGGTGTCCAAAAAGTTCATGACCCCCTCAATCTCAGAAAATACTGACTCGAGAAAAAAGGACTGAGACAAGAGTTGTAGGATTTTACTTAAGCAAACTAACAGTGATCTTGACAAAGACCTTTACGTTGAAGGTCATTTTAAGGTCAAATTGATTTCTTTAAACGTAACCCTATACTTTTGACTCCTGAAATCGGAAAAGGGGATTTTTTTTAGTTTGGATCTATCCCTGATCATGTATATGACCAGATCGATCAGTAATATGGTCAGTGAAGACAAGGTGGATCAGTGACCTGACCAGTGAAGACAAGATCAATCAGTGACCTGGCCAGTGAAGGCAAAGTGGATCAGTCAAGGACAAAGTTGACCAGTGACCCGAAAAGTGAAGACAAGGTGGGTCAGTGACCTGGGAAGAGGCAAGGTCGATCAGTGCATGCAAGATCATTGCTTAATTCGGCTAACACAACCTAATGAAGATCTCTACCAACGTATGTTCAACATGCTTCCCTTCGACAGCTCGACAATGAGCATGAAACGCCTGGGTAGCATCGCTGTATATTTCTGAGCATAAAATAATCCCACAAAAAAGAGTCGCCTCTTTCGATTTTGGGTGTCAAAAGTATATGATCCCTTTCAGAAAAATCAAATTGACAATGAAATGACTTTGAAGGTCAAAGTCCAGATCATTGTCAAGGTCACCATGAGATTGCCCAGGTAAGATCCTACATTTGTCTTGATAATTTTTTCTCCAGCCAGTATTTTCTGACATGGGGTGGATCTGGAACAGCCTGTATATATTTCTGCGGTAAAAGTAACTTATGACACTTCCAACCAATCAAGTATATAAATGCAAAAAACTCAATTTCATTCCAGTGGTTTTCCGTACTTACCAACTTTGTGTTTCTTTATACTTGTTGGAGACACCTTGGTCTTTTTAGTTGATGCAATTAGCGCAGCGGGAGCCTGTAGTTTTCTTTTCGCAGCTGACATGATTTTGGATGGTGTAGGAGTCAAATTGGTCATCGATCTCAACGGGGTGCCCGAAGCGCTTACTGCAGAGCCTGGAGTTTTGCGGCCGTTAAGCTTAGCTTTCCGCATCTGAAAAAAAAACAGTATTATGTCGAAGCAGATCTCAAATCGAAATGAGACAGCGCAAAGTGCTATCTACAACCGACGTTGACCACTGTGAGAGTGTATGGGTTGAAACTGTAAACACCTCGCGTTTGATAGCCCAGACACTACAGTGACCGCTAGAAGCTGCCGATTCTAGTAGATGTCGAATAGATCACATTGACTATACCGCTAGAATCGACAGACTCTGGCAGTCACAGTGGTGACCGAGCTGTCAAACGCAAAATAAGATATTTGAAGTTGTCTGAAGAACACAATGTAATGTCACAAGTAGGTGAATTGTAGAACTCACACAAGATATAATAGGGTTTGCATATTAAAATAATTTTATGTTCACGGTGAATATCTTTGAATTGTTAATTCCTTTGGTAGCATCATGGAGACATTAAATTTTCGACCATTATACATTATTGAGTCTTTCACAAGTGTTGTTTTACATACTACTAATTTGAGATATTATTTTCGTTTAATGTTGTAACTTATATTTAATGTTTCAAATTCAAGGATTGCTTTCAGTTATATATCTAATAGTTCGTTTTTGTAGAGTAAGCACATTTTTTAAACAATTAAGAGAAAAAACACACCAAAAGGGAATGATATATTTCAATCTACTTTCAAATAAGACTAAGTAACTGCTTAAAGCTGGGCTTTTCCCTACGTTGTAACTAAATGCTCTTACAAGGGAGTTGAGTAAGCTATTTGTCTATATGATTAATTTATGATCAGTAAATCAAAAAGTTGAAGGTGTCTTTTTTGTATCAATTCGTTATTTGAATTTATAAAATCAAGGGAGCATTTGAATGTCAAATTTTGTTTATTAACATTGAAAGACAAGTAATTGTTGTCATACCATTTTTTGATTGATTGTATATTGCTACCAATTTTTCTCTTGATTTCATTTACCAAAGCCAAAGTATTGTGGTATCGTCAGCAGAAACTACCAATTTATCATTTATTCTCAAGTTTATTAAATCGTTGATATAGACTAAGAATAGGATCGGACCTAGTACTGATCCTTAAATATATTGTCTTGATAATTTTACAATTTAAATTTGAATGTTTTAAATCAATTGACTGAAGTTACAGTATGTCTAATTTTTATAATAGTATATCATGATTTACACAGTCAAAAGCTTTGGAAAAGTCGCAAAACTGAAATTTGTTTATCGTATAAATTTGTGTATAACTGTTAGAGTAATGTGAAAATAGCATCCATGGTATTTTTTTGAGCTTAAAATCCAAATTGGTTGTTTCTTATAGTTTGCTTGGTATTTAGAATGTGTCTTAATTTAATTTGGACTATTTTTTTCAATCATTTTTGCTACAAGAACCTCGCAGTGATTGATTCTGCTAATAGATGGCGTCTATTGATATTGCAATACAAGCCAATCAAAGTCACGAGTCAAAATTTAAATTTCTTAACAGTATAGGAAGTCATAGAAGAGGCAAACTTTTTATTATATACATTTATAAACAATAAATCGCCAACTGATTTTAGCAAATGTATATCGAATAGATCTGGTGACAATATCAAAAGACACATATTATACTGAAATGTACAGAACTAGGACATTGGAAAAATCTTTTTGTTGGAGGTTTAAGGACTCACAATGGTTTCCCACTGGAAATAAAAACGGCACATAACGTAACAATATTCAAGAGGAAATTAAGGACTTTATATTTTAGATCCAAGTGATATGTGATTTTTATGTTCATGTTAATGTAACATTGTAGCTTATAGCTGAATAAAGACCAAACGTCATAAGGATAGTTGTTATGCTTTGTAGACCAAGCCTAGACCATGCTGATGAGCTGCCAAAAAGAAACACCTGTCCATGGTTGCCAACCTATAACTAGATGTTCAAATGTAATTTCCATCATTACAGCTAGGATGATCGCAGTAACTCGTTTGGGGGTTATCAAAAGAGATGTCGTTTTCCTTTTGCAGAAAATTGTTGATTCTTAAACGTAACACCAATCTTCCAAAAAAAGATCACCCTTCAATCTCCCTCGTAATTGCACCTGAACAGTTACGGCGTTAGGTCGCCTACACAAGAAGGTTATAAGGATATCCTATTTTTTGGACATTTTGCAATCTTAGGTTCAAAAGTAATGGAACCCAGAGCCGCCAACTTGAAAAAACTATACTGCGCGTGATACTCGGGTAATTACCAAGTCGGCAATTATTTTTGTTTAGGTATACAAACATCATAGAAATAAACATTGATGTATCGATGTTTTTTTTCAATTTTGAAGAGCTTAATGAGGTAATTGATAAGGGGGTTTTTACCACCGACTGTAAAGATCAAATTCGTTATCCTTGTTTAGTTATTAACGATAACTTTTTTCAGATCGAAAGAGTTTTTGTGGGTACTGCCTTTGACCCAACAGTTAGTTCTTCCATATTCAAACTACAAATCCAAAAACATCCAAGGTCAAAAACTCCAAAACATGTTTCCGAGATTGAACTGAGACCCCTTCATTAATTGTAAGAATAGTATTTGAAAACAATACTACGTCACATCAAGTATATATATGATCTCGAATCAATGTCATAATTTCTTTTGAAACCTATATAAAAGAAAGACTAACGATTTCGGTACAATACTTTGGAAAGATGAAAACAGCGAAGTATATGAAGAACTCTAGCTATTAAAATCCAGTTCACCAGACTCTGTCAAAGATGCATGACAACTTATCCAATATATTTTAGGCAATAATTTGTAAGAAGCACATACAAATGCTTACACTGCGATCTAAATCGTGCTGACAGTTCCAGTCATTACAGCTTCTACTGAATGAAGCTTTTCAAAGCTCAAGTTGATTAGACCTACTTGAGAACCACGATGAGTCAAGATAGACTGATCTATCAATTAAAGCGCAAATACTGGCTGGTGTTGATTATATTTCGTATTGCCGTTCTCAAATTACAATAATTACACTTGTAGTTGTATTTTTTTCTAAGCTCTGAAGCACGAATTTTAAAGCAAATTCTCTCCGCCACTGGGTCTCCGATTTCCTGCCGTCCGAACACTCGTCACTATTCATTACAATTTTTTCGTGTGCTCTGCGTGGACGGATTTTTCCTTTGCACGTAAAAGTGGTGAATAATGTCGGAAAATCGTAAATCTAAGAAGAGAAAGATACAAGAATTATTGCAGGATCTTTTGGAAAACTCAAGTAAGTGGATAGTGTTTTTTAATAATCTCTTTGTTTTGTAGATCCGCAACATTTGGAAGTAACGAACTGCTGCAAATATACAATATTTGCATGAAATCAATTTGCCCACTGGTATTTTGTTTTCTTAATATTCCCACTAGAATATACATATATATTTTGTGCAGTTCCACCCGAGCATTTCTGAAAAAGTGAGGCCGGCCACGCCGTGTTATCGCTTGTTGATAAACATCTCGCCTCACCTTACGTTTTTTGATACTCAGCAAACGTGTCGATAAATTCCTACGAATTTATTTGTCCATCGGCGTCTCGGAGATTTCTGACGGGCCCCAACCTAGTGACGACGAGGACCCCGAAATGACCTGTCCCTTTGCCGACCTTTCAAAACCGAATCGGGTGCAACCTCCTAATGGTTTATTGGCCCTGCTAGAAAAGAAAACATCGGACAATTTAGGGCCAGAGGTGCATTGCGATATTTTAGACTTGCTATCAGTTTTCTTGTCAAAGGGCTTGGATGCAGATGGACGAAAAACTACCCTGGAAAAATATCCTATTTTAAAAGGTTGTGAGGCTCTGAAACCACCAGAGGTAAATCCTGAAATTAAATCTTGTTTAACACAGGCAGTATTGAGGCACGATCTGTGTCTATCAAAACTTCAGGGTCAATTAGCAGCAGCTATAAGTACCTTAGCTGTTCCTACAAATACCATTTATGAAGAACTTAAGAAATCCGACACGCCACCATCTACTCACGAGGAGTTGGAAAAATTTGGAGATCCAATAAAGCTTGTGGCCGACGTTTTCTATTCTCTCTCAAAGCGTAGACGCTATTTAATTGTTCCATGTTTAGATGACTCCGTTAAGGATATATTGGAGAGTTGCCCCATAGATTCTTTCCTTTTTGGACAAAATTTCACAGAAAAACTAAAATGCTCTCCTGAAGCAAACAAGTTTGGCGCGTCTATTAAAAAGAAACCTAAGATTCTACGTACAGTGACCACAGCTTCCACTTCGTCTCGTCTCCCTTCATCATCCAAACAGATTGCTGGATCTTCACGACGAGGTTCACAGTTTTTTTACTATCGCCAAGGTTCGCTCAAAACTCGATACAAAAGGGAGGAGGAGGGGAAACACAACTAACTCAAAAGAATTGGAAGACAGTTTATCTAAACTAATCTCTATAGGAGCAACCTCCGCTACAGGCCCACAAGTTAATCAGTTTATTGCCCCATATTTTCTCGTACCTAAACCAGTCGGCAGTTCTAGATTTATCTTACAATCTAAAAAAATTAAATACCTTCTTGAAGGTCTCCCATTTCAAGATGGAGGATTATAGGACAGTATTACACTTAATTTATAAAGATTGTTTTTTCACCACGATAGATCTCAAGGACGCATATTTTAGGACTCATTACTGCTTCCTACATTTTCACAAAAATGTTTAAACCAGTCTTACGATATCTTCGAAGCCACGGTATTGTTTGCGTCGTTTATCTTGATGATATAATTACCATTAGTAAGTCACAACAAGCAGCAATCACTGATTCTCAGTTTACTAAAAAGATCCTAGTTTCTCTAGGATTTATTATAAATATGGAAAAGAGTTGTTTTACTCCAATGAAGAATTATCCTTACCACAACAAAAGGTGTCTTTCTTGTTAAAACTTCTTTCTCATACAGTAAACAAAACTGCAATTTCTGTACAAAAATTGGCAGAACTCATAGAAAAATTGGTAGCAGCGTGCCCAGCCAGCGTATCCCTTTGGCTGGGTCCATTTAAAGATTTTGGAACGAGAAAAATTTATCACCTTGCACCGTAATAACCAAAATTATAGAAGTAAATTGACAGTCTCAAATTATATGAAAATTGATTTAGAATGGTGGATGCAATCTTTTTCACTTAATAAAGGAACGCCGATATTACCAAGTAAAAATTACGAATTAGAAATGTCTTCCGACGCCTCGCCAACTGGTTGGGGAGCGTTTTGCAGTCGTCACACTACTAACGAATTCTTTTGAGGCCTCACACCATATTAACTATTTAGAATTGATAGCTGCACTAAATGCGGTAAAATCATTTACTCAAAACCTCTCTAATTGTTACATACTTCTTCGTGTTGACAATACAACAGCTGTATCCTGCATTAACCGCATGGGCAGTGTAACATACAGTAAATTGAACAGTATTGTCAGAGAGTTGTGGACAGGGTGTAAAGCTCGAAAAATCTACATTTTTGCTTCCTATATAAATACTAAACAGAATATTTTTGCGGATAGGGCATTTCGGTTACAGAATATCGAGACAATATACATTAAATTCTGAGACAGACATAGACCTGTTTGCAACAAAATTAAATACTAAATGTGAGCGCTACATTTCATGGAAACCTGATCCAGATTCCTTAACAGTGGATGCGTTTACTTTTTCATGGGAAAAATATTTTTTTACGCTTTTCCACCTTTTTTGCTTACTTACTAAATGTTTACAAAAAATAATTGACGAGAAAGCACAAGGAAATTTAGTAGTTCCTCGATGGGATACTCAACCGTGGTACGCTTTTTATCAAAGGTTATTGATAACTAAGCCTCTAGTTTTTCAACCGAATGAAACTATATTATTAGAGATTTTTTCGCGAGATCCCGTATGAAACGGAGCGGGAACAGATGGAATTTCCCCTTTCTCTCGAAGTTTTGACAGTTTCAAGTTACACCGGGAGTGGTCAGATGGCGCATGTTGCGCAAAATGTTTGCTTTAAGCTCCTTGATAAACTTAGCTGCTTTGTTTGAATCTGAAATAAAAAAACCGATCGTTTTTTGTGCAATGTACAAATATATCAATAAAATCAATCATTTGATATGACAAGTGCGGTTCACATATCTTCGATTACCTTCTCCCTCGTCATTTAAAATCAGGTGGACGTGTTCCTCCATTTATGATTTAATAATTTAACTCAATTTTCGGCACTGCGAAGACAAATTTTGAATTGAGATGCCTGTTTTTTAAAAGAAATTGATATAAGACCTGTCACCCGCTAGTACCTCACAGACGTTAGGCGGGTACCCGTACCACGTGATTTTTTGACATTCGGACGACGTCACATCCGTCTTCCCCTATTCCCAATACAATAGCTACTACCGTAAGTGGTGGGGTTTTTGCATGTCACAATCAAATCGCCTTATACGTATTCGGTAGATACGCTGATTTTATTTTTAACAGAACAATATAATGCAGGAGCGTCATACTCTACTCTAAATTCTCAATATTCTGCCTTATCCTTTGTTTTTTCGATGGAAGATAAAGATAAGAATTCTTTCAGGCGGGTTTTGAAAGGAATATATAGACAGAAACCTCGGCAACCGAAATACCAGATAACATGGGACCCTTCCTTAGTTCTGGACTATTTAGCAAAAATGTACCCTCTACCTGAGGTACCGCTGCCCCAATTGACCTGTAAGCTAGTAACTTTACTAGCTCTAGTAACTGGTCATAGAATACATGCATTGACTAAAATTAGGACTAGAAATATTACTCGTTTTAGCAATAGACTAGAAATTAAGATACCAGATTTAATAAAGACATCCAGTCGTTCTACTTGTCAACCCTTGTTAGTTGTTCCATAGTTTACTGACCACCCTCCCCTATGTTTAGCCTCAGTAATTAATGATTATATACAAAGAACCCAGACCCATAGGTCTGAGGAAACCGATCAAGAAAACAGGAAAGTGGAGTGGATGTAAATTATTTTTCCAGTCACAGTACGCGACACGCTGCGACTTCAGTAGCCTATAGGGCTAGAATTTCAATAGAAGTCATTAGGAAGGCTGCTGGATGGACCCAAAAAGGTAACACATTTAACACTTTCTATAATCACCCTTTAAGTTCTGACTCTACATCATTTGCTAGAAGTGTACTTAGTAGAGGTGTTTGACTTTGTTCTATATATGTTATTATTATATTACATCTATACATCTATATGTATATACTATTTTTCTTTAACTTTAATAAAAGAGACTACTCTAGATCTTTATGTTTCTAGTTTTTTGTTTATGTGATGTTATGCCAAGCCACCTGCATTCTGGAATCACGTCGATCTAGATCTTATGTCTCTTTAAACATCTACAAGTGTAATTATTGTAATTTGAGAACGGCAATACGAAATATAATTTAGAGATCAATTGACTTACCTTAAGGAAAATTGATCGGAATTATATGAGTATTGCCGTTCGAAGAATTACAATCCCACCCTTTCCCTAGAAGATCTAGATCTTGTTCTTGAAAAATTGTAATGAATAGTGACGAGTGTTCGGATGGCAGGAAATCGGAGACCCAGTGGCGGAGAGAATTTGCTTTAAAATTCGTGCTTCAGAGCTCAGAAAAAATTGCAACTACAAGTGTAATCATTGCAATTCTTCGAACGGCAATACTCATATAATTCCGATCAGTTTTCCTTAAGGTAAGTCAATTGATCTCTAAATTATGAAACAATTCGTTTATTTTAGTTTTCTTTTGTTTATTTGATTTTGGTCATTTGATTAGCAATAAACTCATATACTAATAGTTATTACTCAACTCATGCAGTTTAAGTTTTTTTGACTGGGAAATGGAAGGGGCCTCGCAAAGCTGATGTCGCTGACGTCCATATGGCCTACCACCACCACCGCCCTACGATTACGTATTCTCATAATTTCTTAACGACGGAAATGAAAATCGCAAAACCCGTGGCAACAGTCCGAGAGAGAGCAACTCTGGCGCATAAAAACGATGGTCGACATGCATATAGTTGTAAGCATAAGTATGGATGTTCGATATGGTTAGGGTGGGAGGCTAAAGCCAGGAAGATGTCACGCGGTTTCATCGCGCGGCGGCGTCACAGAGGAGAAAAGAAAGGAGCAAAGCCCGTTGACATAACGGCTCCTACCTCTCTCCTGGAAGCAAAATCGATGACGCACTGTGGGTGCGAAAATACCCGGATTGTCCGTTGGAGAAGAGTCATCGATCACCGGACACCCCTCTTCTTTGCAGGATCGGGTATGGACAATATAGTTGGGGCAGTAGCACCCCAAACATGTGATCAGTTCTCGGTCTTATCTAGGCCTTGTACACAGTAAGGAGCTTACCTGGAAAGTTAGTTATTCCTTTCTGCTGCATTTTGTTTCATTTTGACATTTTTGTTGCTTTATGAGTTTTCATATACAAAAAATAAAAGAGCAAATAAAAAATGCAATAACACACAAAGTGATAGTTTAAGCCGAGATGATGGCGACATTTACTAAAAATCATTCAAAACAAGTAGTACTGTGATTCTACTTGGCAACATGGCTGCGACGATTAAAATTGTAAGTGAACGTCCAAATACAGCATAGGGTTGAGCATCTTCTAGGAGAATTCATTTATTGTCAAGGCTAAATTGTAACTTACATTTTCAAAGTCTTGGTGTGCGTTTTCCAGATAGTCCGTCACAGTTTGTCCAAAGGTCTTGAAAGGTTTTTGATGTATTTCTTCAAACTTGTCGCACAGACTCTGAAGTTGACATTCAACTTTTGGAATTGACTTGGTCAACTGGTTTCGTTCTCTTTCCTCTTTCAATAACTGACCACCGCGATTTTTTAATCTGCCTGCATCTGCGTGTTCTTGAAGCCCCATAAATTTTGACCATAGCTTGCTGTGTCTATTGAGCAATTGGATTATTTCCCTGAAAAGAAGTAGAGGATGATCAAAAATATTGTCGATGATGGAACAGATAACCCACAAAAATAACGCGACAAGTTCCTAAAACCATGAGAACTAAACTGTAAGGTTCGCGCTTTGTATGAGAAAAACGTGTACGAAGTGTGATCAAAAAATACACTGAATGTATTTTCTATCGGGAGCTGCTGTATCTACAACCATTTAGCAAAGTAACAACCTTTATTTTAGAAACTCCTAATTTTTACAGCAAAAACAACAAGCACACATTCTTTACAAATAATACAAAGACTATTCATAAAAACAATGCATAACAAACCTTTATTATATCAGGCTAAATCACTGTTTATAGAATCAAAACTTTTGAATATAAAAACATTATTTTGGTATAATGTTAGTTAGAATCCCATAAAGATAAACATTCAACGATTTATAAAAAATATGAATATGACACTAGAAATAAAAATAAATAAATGGTTATTCCAACACCAACATGTCAAAAATCTTTTATATACTTAGGTCCAAAATTATATCATATGCATTATAAGTGCTTTCTTGAAATCACCTACAGTATCTGCATCTTTTGTTTCATTTGGTATCTCATTATATTCCCTCAGACCCTTGTACATGATTGTTTTCATTGTGCACACTTTATTGGCTTTAATTAAATGAAAATAGGAGTTTGTTTTAGTGTAATAGGTATGAATTTTATTGTTTCTTCATAGGGATGCAGCTAGGTGAAGTTCCTTTTACAATTTTGAATATAAATGCCGTGGTCATTAAGTAAAGATGTCTTCAATTCTTGTGTATCTGTTGCATTGCATAATTACCCGCATTCCACTATTTTGCAGTTTTTGTAGTGTGTTTATTTTATTCTTGCTGAAGAAATACAATAAAAATAAACCGTATTATTGCATTATAAACAGTATCTCTTGCAAATATTGACTGCTGTTTAGGAATTTTAGAAAAAATGTTCTTAATAATGTAAACATTATGGTTAAAAATTAGGTTTTGGTCTAACATAAATCCTAGATATTTTTACATTGTTAACTGGGTGCTTCAAATTCGACCCTCATCATTGGGATCTCGGCAACTGTAAGAGATATGAAGTCACTTAAATGGGGGCAAAGTTGGGTATTTAGGTAATCAAGAAAATGTCGCTTGGAAAGTTTTGAATTCAATGTACTTCCAGAGAGCGATGGAAAAACATAATTTTCCCGACCTTATATGTGGTGGGATTTCAAAATCAATTGCACATTAACATTGCCATTTTTTCTCGTCTGCAAGATGGCATAATCAGAATTTCAATGTTTCATCTCTCGTCCTCCAGCATCAACTTTATTTTTCCTTATAGAGGCCATATTTTATGTTTGCACAAACGAATAGAGTTTTTAATTCTGATTCCAAAAATGTATAATACGTCATAAATTGCCAAACCTTAGTTATTTAAAAAAAAAGCAGAATTTCCTATCCCTTCGATTAAAAAACTCGTCGCTTTTTTGAGTATATCTATAATTCGAAAATTTCTGTAGTTTATCATCTTCTCAACAATATCAGAAAGAATTTGTTATGCAGTCAAATAAGAGAAAAGGATTAGGTTCTCCCCCTAACCAGATTAATAAAAGTAGTAATAGCAAAGCAATAAAAACAGGTAGGCTTCCCAATGCAAGTTGATGTCTTTTCATACCTGGATTAAGTAATATTCAGGCCTCTGACAATATTTAGAGCATTAGTGGTGCGGGTTTATAACACCAGTAAGGATTTATAAACCTTTTAAAGGCTTACAGAGTAAAATTATTCATAATTTAATAATAGCTATTATTAATTAGATCTAAAATGTAGGTAATCCAGGTATCCACATTTATTTTGCCTTATAATAAGTTACAAGGATATTTATGCAAGTTTTCAAGCAATTCAACATAAAAACAAAAAGGATCATACCTCCGTAACCCTAGATCTTGGAATATTGAGGTTTTCAGTAAAATCATCAATCTCCAGTTGCCCAAAAAATTGTTGGTTTATGTACTGTATATTTCTACATATTAGCAAAGTCACACTGTCAAATCTATATTTTATCTCAAAAGAGTCAGAGTCACTATTATTATCATCAGTGTTATAATTTGTGCTACTATTATTAATTACTATTATTGTTGAAGGACCAAGCAAGCTATGATATCTGACGAAATTGTGGAACCAATCTCGGTACAGCAACGCTCATCAGAGAAAGCATCTGATTTCGCAGATGGAGAAAAAAACTACACAAGGTACATCGATCTGCTACTCAATACAAAGCTATTTTGATAAATATGAATTTTTTTGCTTCCAAGAAAGCGACAGTAAGGATAATTCGGTGGCGGTTTTCTCACTACATGGAAGGCGAGTGGTTGATATAGGATTTCTCTTTAAACAAATCGTAGATATTTCCAAACACCCGCGTTTTGGTTGCTCGTTTGCGGATATGTACCTAACCAATGTGAATTGAAATCCAGTATCACATTTGTTTGTCGATTGTGCAACATAGAGAAAACTATTGATTTGGTATCGATGTCACAACGACGCATTTCCATTGGCAGCAATATCTACTGGCGTAGGATTTTCGACCGCCGAAGACTTGTTTGAAATTTTGAATGTAGCATTTAAAAGTCCAACTACCTATTTAAAACATGAAAATGTAGCCGACCAAATAGACAAGGCCCTGCGGACTGTGACAGAAGCAAATGGGATGGAAGAAGCCGATTTAGTAAGAGCGACTGGTGACGCTGACGAGAAAGGACTCACCGCTAGTGACGGTAATAGCATAGCGGTATTAACCCACAGAAAATCTTTACAGTAAAATCTCAGGTTTCCGACTGCCGGCAAATATATTTTTATCATACAATAATATATTTAAGAAAAAATCCAAAATTGTTACGTTCTGTCGGCCACAACCACCATCAAACATGATTCAAGAAAACATTTACACTTATCCCCAGACTAAATAAAACTATCAGCCATTCTACTTTCCATACTCAAAATTTTATGTTATTCCTGCAAACTGTAAACATAAAATTGAATTAATGTTCTGGATTCTAAATCAACCAAAGCTACAAATCCATGAGTTAGTATACATAAAAAATCAATGTGTCATTTGATGATAAATTGATACAAATTTATCCATTTGATTAGTATGCTTATAGAAAATTTGTTGTGTTCATATAATCTAAGTTCGGTTAAAATCCAAGCACAAGTATCCACTTATTTAAGTATCTTATGTTTATCTGATACTACCGTTATATTTATACGAAAACTTTGTAGTTGGGCCAATAAATATTATTATTATTACTATACTACGAATCATGATGCGCTTTCGGAGCGGTGAGTTGATTGTTCGATAATATTGAGGCATTTTGAACATTAATTTTGTTGCAGGGATGTATCATAGGTGCAAGAATATATATATCAGCCATTCTACTTTCTGTGCTCAAAATTTTATGTTATTACTGCAAATTGTAAACATAAAATTGAATTAATGTTCTGGATTCTAAATCAACCAAAGCTACAAATCCATGAGTTAGTATACATAAAAAATTAATGTGTTATTTGATGATAAATTGATACAAATTTATCCATTTGATTAGTATGCTTATAGAAAATTTGTTGTGTTCATATAATCTAAGTTCGGTTAAAATCCAAGCACAAGTATCCACTTATTTAAGTATCTTATGTTTATCGGATACTACCGTTATAGTTATACGAAAACATTGTAGTTGGGCCAATAAATATTATTATTATTATTATTACTATACTACGAATCATGATGCGCTTTCGGAGCGGTGAGTTGATTGTTCGATAATATTGAGGCATTTTGAACATTAATTTTGTTGCAGGGATGTATCATAGGTGCAAGAATAAAGAAAATTCTTTATTTAGGGATACAAAGTAAATATTACTTCGTATGCGAAAAATCTCAACATCAAGAAAATAAACCAGTACATAGGTGCTATAAAACGTCCCTTCTAAAAAGGACGTGATTAACAATTTTTCGGGGTGTTCGGATATTTAACAGACACCCTGTAATCCTCTGTTGCATTTAAGTTCGTTACGTTTCTAAGGAGGAGGCGAAGTTCGTCAAATATACCAGTAGAGCCGAAGCTCCGCAAAGCAGTCGAAAGCCGAGCTCAGAGGCTAACAGTCTGAATAACAAATGCCATAGGATACAAGAGGAAGCAACAATTCCAGAAAAAGTTGGAAATCTCTGCAGCGACCTAAGGAATTTGTTGGGGGAAAAAGAATAAAATTTTCAATGAAAGGTTGTAATGAAACAAGATGTAAAGCTGCAGCGATGTCATTCAACCAAGAGGGGGATCATTATTCTGCTTGGACTATTACCAAAAGTGACTCAGAAACTCCAGTCTAAACAGAAAAAAGGTGGACGGGCAGGTTAAGGTGCAAGATCAAGTATCTTCCAAGGTTCGCTACCAAGTAACAATGTCTGTAGACTGATTATGGACCTGCAGCCATTCCGGAAGACGATCGTCCCTCAGATACATATTATAGAAGAAAGAATGCATTTCTGGAAATTTTGAAGCCGTGTCCAATTAAAAAGGTTGAGGAGAAGACAAGAGGACAGCGCACAAACTCATTATGGATTCAACAAACATCCAACAGATTAACTGCATCTCATGTCGCCGAAATCTGTAAAATGAAAATAACATCTCGAACTAAAAGAGTTAAATCAATTTTATATTCCAGCTTCAGTGGCAACAGTAGCACAAAATATGGCACTGATTATGAACCAGTCGTCATTGGGAAATTTATTATTAAGATTTAAATTTGAAGACAACTATTTGTTTTCTTATTCTAGATATTCCACTAAGTAATAATTTCATATTGATAATTGAAAAATTTACCGCATACATCTGTTACCTAAAAATACATACATAATCCATAATTGGATGACAACTCGTTATAACATATTTGCGAGTATAAAGCGCAAACGAGCTGTACTAACATATTTACGGTTCAGAA